AAACTGTGAGAGCATGGCCTATCGATCCTTTAGCATTTGAGGACTTGAAGCTAGAGGTGTCAGAAAAGTTACCASAGGGATAACTGGCTTGTGGCAGCCAAGCGTTCATAGCGACGTTGTTTTTTGATCCTTCGATGTCGGCTCTTCCTATCATTGTGAAGCAGAATTCACCAAGTGTTGGATTGTTCACCCACCAACAGGGAACGTGAGCTGGGTTTAGACCGTCGTGAGACAGGTTAGTTTTACCCTACTGATGCACCGCCGTTGCAATGGTAATCCAACCCAGTACGAGAGGAACCGTTGGTTCGCACAATTGGCAATTGTGCTTGGCTGAAAAGCCAGCGGTGCAAACCTACCGTGCGTGGGATTATGACTGAACGCCTCTAAGTCAGAATCTGTGCTTGCAGCGACGGCGTATGCCTCCTCGGATGACACAAGGCTGTCGATAGGGCCAGCCGGTCTGGCCCCTAAAGCATAAGTTCGGAGTTGTCCCTCCTGCGGCGGAGCACCGACGCCCTGGGGGTCTCTTCATCGCAATTTCTTTCGCTCGGGGAGTCAAACCCTTTGCAAACGACTTAGACATGGAACAGGGTGTTGTAGGCAGTAGAGTGGCTTTGTCGTCACGATCTGTTGAGATTCGGCCCTTTGTTCCAAAGATTTGCCCCATGTTCTGGCTCCCCACCCCTCCTCAAATGTTTGAACGACGGTCGTCCGCGACTGAAGAGAGTCGTCGCCCATGAGCTGCTTGCATTTTTTTTTTTTTTCCTTTTTTTTTTCCAGTTTTGCTGCTTCCGTCTGAAGCCCCTTTTGCCCGATGTGGTACTCGACTTTCGGCTCAAAGGAGAACTGTGCCCGAGCCCATGTCGTGGTGGGTGCCACGTTGTAAGCTTCTGGCCACTGCAACGCGCCATCTGTCCGAAAGCATGGATATGTCTCCGCGTGTCTTCCTGTACTTGACCCGGTGGGTGTTTGTGCATGCCACATTGTCTAATGTTGCCCCATACGGCCTGCCACTTTTGGCTGCACGGAGACCTGGGACCAAAGGCTGGATCGACGTGAGTGCCACATTGTACACTTACTCACGATGTGGCGGGCGACCTTTGTTTCAGTAAAAAAAAAAATGTTGTTCTTCAAGTATTCAAACAAAATGCAAACGTAGACTATGTACATACGTTTATAATATTACGTATATGACTTTTTTTTTTTTTTTTTCTCCCTATTTAATTCACCTTTCTTTCATGATGAAAACAAAATTTTGAATCTTCTCATTCTGTAGATAAAAGTTTGCTCAAGCAAGTATTCAATCAATAGGAATATTTTTAGTAGAGGGGCAGAGACGGAGGGTGTCTGGCCCCCTCTGCGTACAAGTGTAATCGTGGTGGGGGGCGCGCGAAGCATGCCCCTGGTGTTTCAGACCTGGAAAGCCAATTCCCACCCTATCTAGCCCTCCCCATGTGTGTGCGTAATATTATGGCTTGGGAACAAAATACCCACTTCTTGCTCGACGTGGCCCTCGCCACGCGACTGCGTAGTCATGATCTTGGTGGGGTCGCGCGCCCCCCAGCTTTGGGAACAGAGAGGCCACTTTCTGCCCTTTGTGCCCCCCCCCACCCCCACCCCACCCCGACGCGTGCGAGCAATGATGTTCATGGCGGGGGCAAACGGCCCACTTCCTGCCCTATCCGGCCCTCCCCGCGCGTGCGCGTGATCATGGCGGCCTGCTTCACTGGAGGCAGTACCTGATTGGCTCCATGGTGTTCTCCGGGACATGCACTGAAATGCTTATGGCCGTCGGGTTTTCGGCCTCGCTTCTTCTGCCGAATGCAGTTTTTTTCGGAGCCGACACAAATTGAAATGACGATTTTGTCAAGTCATCCTTGACTTTTCTTTCGCCCCTTCTCTTTCTGGAGTGCGTGTCCGGTCATGTTCGCCAACACATAACCCCACAACGGACGCACGATTCTGCCAGACTTCCCGTAAAGTTTTCACTCCCACACCGCGGCGTGATCAGAGTCGCTAGGCACATAAGTTGCTTGGCCTTGTCTCTGTTTGTTTCGTCCCTTTTTTTTTTC